CTTCATTTGTTTATTTGACTTCTAAACCACCTTTCATTTGAAAGAATCCCAGGGCATTTAAACAATTTTAGATTCAACAAAATACCAGCCACACACTGTACTAACTAGCTTATCACAAAATGCATTTCTTAAAAATTAAATATTTTCCACAGAAATATATAGTAGTGGAAAATTCCTAGAAGTGTAAACTTTTCCACTGCCAAATTCTTCCATGGAAACTTTTCTGCCATACGTCACGGGTCAACACTTGTACCTTCTAAGTGCAATCTTCCCAATAATTTGAACATGGCCATTTTGCAAGTTATTTTCCTTGCCACCAGTCCTGTCTGAATCCCAGTCACAGACAGAAAACTGTACTCGATTCAGCTGCTCTGCAGAAGTCAGCAGAAATAGCTCAGCTGGCATGAACTCTTCAGAAATGCTGAAACGGCATCAAAAGGACGAGGGAGCACTGCTGATATCCACAGATCGGATTGGCACTTGATCACCTACCCTTGATAGCAGAACTGGCAGAAACAGCAATACAAATTGAAGATAAGCAGCTGAAGTAATACCCACTTTAGACCTGACCATTAGAACTATTAGTAGCCACATTCCATGTTATGAAAAATATTCTTAGTAAATATTGGCTACTCAGATGTGACTGAACGCATGAAGGCCAAACAAGATGTGATGTAAGAGATACACAAATAGGATTTTCTCTGTGTGTGTGTGCATGCGCTTTAAAGCACTAACAGTAGCCCAGAATAATTCTTGGCACTGGGGAAGGAGGTTAAACTCTTTCTTCCTACATACCATTTCCCCCAATTAAATGTGGTCCCTCAGAGCTGTTTGCCCACAGGGTGAAAACCATCATCTGTAGAATGGTCTACTTTGCTTACTGAGCACATAGCTTGTGGGGGAAGGGAGCTCAATTTTCACCTGGAAAATGGTAATCATCATCTGGCAGTCCTTCCCCATTGCCATGGCCACTATCTAAATTCTCCCCTGCGCCTCCCCACTGTTATTGACCTTTTAGTAAAAGAACGGGAAACTCTTAATGTGAAACTGTCTTTTGACAACAGTTAACTTCCATGTATTGTTAGATCAGCCACTTAGGAGCAATCCTAAGCATGTTTACTTTGAAGTACACAGGATTATAGTACACTGGTAAGATTTTACGTTTCCTACAATAAAATTGCTCAGCCTTATAGCTCAAAGTATTTCCAGGTCAAGCAAATGGCACTGTGCTTGGACAACCAAATAGTCTAGTGACACAGAGCCATGTCATCCATAGCTGTTATCTCTACACAACGTGTGAAAAAGACCACAACCATCCTAGGGTTTGGCCTAGTCATGCGCCACAGCTATAACAGGCAATGTAGAAAGCTTATGAGCTACATCTGACACTTTAGGCTAGGGCGGAGAATCAGATCTGGCCAGCAGGCCAGATAATTATTTTCCCCAGCCCTCACAAGCCAAGCTTCATAAGTGAACAGAGGTACCCACCTGTTAATTGCCTGATATCACAATGTCAGGTGAACTTCTCTTGCCTGCAGGAGTCTTGGCAAAAGGCTTTGAAATGGGCCTAGTAAAACCCAACAATCAGCTGAGCAATGGTGACTGCAAACTCCATTTCAGCAAGGCCAGATTTTTACTTGCTTTACATCTGATATCATAAATGTGAGGTCCATTGTATTGGCAGGTGGCTTGCCCAAAATGCTCTGGTGAGGCCTGTTTTATGCAGATTATGATGCAGGGGTAGGCAACCTAAGGCCCATGGGCCACAAGCCCACAGGGGTCGTTTAACCGGCCCACGAGCCACCCCCGAACCAAGCACACCCGCTCAGCGAGTCCCCACGCACTGCGCTAAACCGGCACAGTGCGGCACAGGGACTCGCTTCCATGGCGCTGGAAATTGTGTCTGCGCAGACTCTGGATATCACGGGTGCGTACACTCAAACACGGGCGCAATACGGCCTGCGGAGGGATCTCCACTGGAGTGAACTGGCCCAGGCAAGGTAAACCTTGTCGACCCCTGTTATAATGTATTGACTTTCTTCTTTTCTTTTTTAAGGTTAGGGACCAGTTTTCAGGAGTTCATTGTAATGACTGAGAAAACAATAGAAGAGACAGGTAGGCAGTTTCTCATCTCACTGGTTTTGCAACTTTAGCTTTCCAGCTCTAAGATCTACTAAATTTTAAACACGCAGCAACATTGGTTATTATCACGAGGGACTGTAAATGAACAAAATTTATAGTTCCATTTGAAAAACATCTTTCTGGGATTTTTCTATACCACCCAAAATAACTTTCAACAGTTGTCATTTTGGACCTATAATAACCTCATAAGCTTCATCTGGGATGTTGTAACTGCTCTAGCAGCTACGCAGGCCATGCACCCTCCTAGTTCATGCTAATGTGGATCGAGCGTAAACATCCCACTCAGCTGCACCAGTCCAGCTTATTAGATGTTTTTAATGTGACCCTTGGTGTTCAACTGCTCAACTTTGCTGACTAAATATCTTTCACATACAGGCTATAAAACTAAAATCTCAGCAAGCCCCATTGAAATACCAAGTATCACAATCCTGCTCCTTAGAAATGGGCACTTTGCCACCAACTTCATTAGGAGGTCTGCATCCTGATCCATTTTAATGCATTATTCATTTCTACCCATCTTCCTATAAAAATAAAGCAGCTTACATTTGAAAAAAATGAAATATAAAGAAAAGAAACACAAATGTAGCAGACAATCTAAAAGGAAATTGCAAGTGTTATATAAAAGCATGAAATAGGCCTGTAAGACCTTGAACTAGAGTTGTTTTGCAGTCTCACTGCATGATGCTCTTTGAGTGACCTTGGTGGTTATCCATTATTTGGTTTCCTGTGGCAAAGACCTGAGTAAGATACACGGCCCATGCTGAGCTTTGAAGACACTCTGAAGCAGTGATAATTTCTTGCTCTCTGGGGTTCTAATGCCTGCCATAAAGTGACGGACTACTACTTCCTTTCAGAAGATCCCAATACCTGAAACAAACCAGAGAACATAGTGGGGGCAGTCTGTCTCTCCTGCACAAACACAAAATGAGGCCCTAGCCACCTCTCTGCGATGCAGGAAGAAATCAGTGCTCTCTTGCTTTATCCTGGGCAAGCCAAGGCACATGGTCACCAGAAGATCTGTGGCTGCTGTTGGCCACACAGAGGCATTTGGCACCTGCTGTGCTAGGAGTATTTTGCCTTCTTCAGCATAGCCCACAAACAACTGTTTAAGTCAGCTGAAGCAAGTGGAAAACTTCAAAAAGGCTTTCCCAGGCATTTGTCTCTTCCTCAGACACACACCCTAGGCTACCACTGTTACAGCAGATCCAAGGAGCTCAGCCTTGGGTGTCTGAAAAGCAGGCAGACCACAAGCGAACAAAAAGACAAATGGAAACTCAGGGTGGGTGTTGTGTTGCTTTCTGTTCTCAAACAGCAATAAGTGTAAAAGTGCAATAAATGTACCGTAATACCCGAACATGAATAATGGTACATACTCTAAAATATCTCTCTGCTTTTCTTTTTCACTTGCACATACACACAAGACAAATTTAAAGGCTTCAGTACCCTAATGTAGGGTGCAGCACAGAAAGGGTGTGTTGTGGCTTGCAAATGCCTAAGACGACAAATGACAGGTGGGAGAGGCAAGGAATCTAGTGTCTCCTCTCAAACATTTTGCTTTGTCTCAGCTTTGTCTCACCATTTGCCTCAGACCCTTTCAAACCACCCAACTCAAGCCTAGAAAGGAGACCCCCTCCAGCCCACACAGGGTTAGTACAAGTCTTCCAAGATGCCATTTCGGCATCTAGCAGCCTCCTGGAAGGAATGTACCCCTGTTCCTAGATCAGTGGCAGTTGGCCTGTGGCCCTCCAGATGAGGCTACACTAGGCCCGACCATTGGACATGCTGGTTGGGGATGATGGGATTTCACAGAATCATGAGAGTTAGAAGGGACCCTAAGGACCATCTACTCCAACCCCTTGCAATGCAATAATATGCAGCTGTCCCTTATGGGGATCGAACCTGCAACCTTGGGTGTTATCAGCGCCACGCTCTAACCAAGCTGTCCAGATAGGCAGGCCAACAACATCTGGGGTGCCCCACAACTCCCATCAGCCCCAGCCAACAAGGCCAACATCAAGGGGGGCTAGAGTGGTGGTGGCCCAACAACATATGGAAAACCACAGGTCGTCGTCGTCCCACTTCTGGCCTCTCTCTTCCTGCGCCCTTCAGACGCGCTTCTATAGCCAAGAGCCACACTGACGACGACGGCGCCCCCAGCCACCCCCGAGATCCAAGCCCATCTTGCACCGACAGGAAGACTCTGCTCGACATAGAAATCTCCAAGCCAGCCAGTTCCCGCCTCCGGATGCAACAAGCAGGAGTGGGGGAGAAGAAGCAGCCTCCGAAGGAAGCGAGCCAGATAAGCACGGGGTGGCCGCACAGCAGAAGCCGAGTGTTTCGACGCCCCCCACACCCCGGAAAGGTCCAGAGGGGCTGCGTGGCGCGAGGCGAGCTGCCGCCTTCTTCCCTCTTTTCCACGAGACTCTCTTCGGGCTCGTGCTGCGAGGCAGGAGAGCGAAGGGCGGAGCCGACCCGCGGGGAGAGAGAGAGGCCTCCAGCGGAGCTGCGAAGGGGGCGGCTTGGCGGGGGAACCCCAACCCGACCGACACGCCCACCCCCCCCAAAAAAACGTGCACTTTTACACCCCCTACTTTTCCCTTTTGCACGCACGGCGAGGGCCGAGAGCAGTTGCTCGTCTCTCTCCCACGCCCACCCGGAGTTAAGCGCCGCGCCTCCCGAACAGAGGAGGGGAGCCCGCGCGCGAAAAGCGCAAAAACTGCCAGCGAGGGTGGTGGGGGCAGTTGAACAGGAAAGGGGGGGGCGGCGGAAAGAAAGCCGGCCGGAGCGAGGCCCGAACAATGCCCGCTCCCGCCCCCCGCGAAGGAGGAAGCGCCCTCTCGCTTTCCCGCTCCCCTTACCTTGCTCGCTGTTGGGGTCCATTTCGGCAGCCATCGCCCTCAGGACGCTCTCTCTCGCGGGCGGGTTTTCCTCTTCGGGGCGTGCCAAGAGGGAGCAAGCGGAGAGGAGGAGGAGGGGAAACGTCGAGGGGACGCGCAGCAGAGCAGCCGGCTCGTCGCCGCCCGCCCCGTCCGACCTCCTCCACCCTCGCAGGCGCTTGGCTCCTCGCTCCGCCGCACTCGGCGCGCCCGCCCGCGCCTCATATAGGGCGGGTTCCTCTTGGCGTCCACGTCAGCCAGGCAGGCAGCCGGAGCCACCTGACCAGCGGCTCTCGCCCCGCCTGGCCCGCGCGGCGGAAAGGTGCGCGGCAGGTGTGTGGGAGGTACGGGCGGGGGCGGGGACTGGCTGCGTTTCCTTTCAGGGGGTGCCTCTCCAAGGGGTGCGCAAGAGTGACGGTGCGGGGCTCTATGTGTATGTGAGGGGGAGAGAGAGAGCACACACGTGTGTGTGTGTGGACAGACATACTCCTGTGCCAAGTGGGGTTTGTCCCTAACAGGGTTCAGCCCAGAAACCCCATTTGCTGAGACACGACATTGGAGGTGACAGCACCCCTGAGCATGCACAGAGTGCCTTCAGTACTGACTGATAAGCAGAATCTGCTACCATCTGGGATTGGGCGCGGGGCGGCCTTTGATAATTTTCTGCCAGGATTGAATCCAGCATTTCTTTGCTTAGAAATGAGCTGCTGAACTTTAATTTAACAATCCCACTAGCATGCTATGTAGGTATTGTTGCGTGAATAAATAAATAAGATGCTGTTATCTGGAAAACACTGTTGGGGAGAACTGCCAGGAAAGCCGTTACATCTGCTGCATGCTTAGTTATTGCAAAATAGTTTTGTTTATTGCACTTTTTTTTACATAATGCAGCCACACTACTATTTGGCATACATTTAACCCTTTCTCTTTAGTTTTGCAACGTTTATGCTATTCATCTTCCCAGATATCTTGTGAGATTCTTGTCAGCGCACTGCAATTCCCATCGCACTCACCTTATGGCCTCCAGCCATTTGCTTGGGAGAGCTTCAAGCTGCGTTTTTCATGTCAGAGTAAAATATTACAAGCACGTTTTATCATAATTCTACCTGCTGCCCATACACATGCTTTTCGCGTGTGTGTGTGTGTTTGTGTGTGTGTGTGTGTGTGTGTGTGTCCCTCTCTTCTGCTAACACAGAGATAAAACTAAGCAGTTTAGCACACAATGAAAAAAGCACATTTCGAATATGCATTTGATTCCATAGTGAGGAATACCATGCATACCAAAAAAAACCTCACTATAGACTGACCTTGCAAACATATATCCATAGTTATGTGTCTAAGGGTGCATTCAAAGGGTATATACCACTGCCCATTTATTGTAGGCTACATTTCACTCTTCAGCAGGTACATTCCCCTGTCTTTCATCATGTGAATTCCTATTCACCTTTTACATAGAAGACAGTAGAAATTCCACATTAGAACCCCTAGTATAGGTGTACCCTAAGCCCTCCAGATTTTGGAATCCAATTCCCATCAGCCCCACTCAGTGTGTCCAATGGTCAGGGATGGTCCTGGTGCCTAAAGATGTATATTGAAGGCGCTGACTGAACCTCCCTTCCACAAACAGGGAGGCACTGCAAAAAGGACCATTCTCATGTTGCCACCTTCCAACCTACTCATGGGGGAGGCATGTTGGCTCCAGCAAATCTTACAATATATTCTCGCATATAGATACAAGGGGGGAAGTTTGCATAAACATCCTCAGAGATCTACTGGGTACAGGGCGGTATACAAATTTAATAAATAATAACAAATAATCCTCAAGCATGACCTGCCATTTAGCTTCAACTTTGCCTCTGTTGGGGGCTCCTGAAAACAGACCTCCAAACCATTTCTCTTCTCTCATGCTTAGGCCTGGAACCTCAGCAATTTCACCAGGCACCTTTGGGGCATTTTCACCATGTCATATTTAACTTTGAAGAGGAATTCCTGTCCTACTCCTCAACATGACAAAATAATGGATTTCTTCAACCTGTCACGTGTATTTCCCCCTTTGGCCAAGAATTAGCAAAGTGAGAAATGTTTCTGTCCACATTTCAGCTTCATTTGAGATTCTGTAATGTACCTTGCCCGCTGCTCTAGGCTTGAAAAGCATCAGTTTTACGCAAATAAAACAGCAACCTCAAATTACTTTTGTGTCTTCGGGCTTCTGAAATGCAATACCGCAGATCAATATATATGACTCAGGGGTAAAGACCTGCAGAACAGAAATAAAACTGAATCTGCACCTCTTGCATTAGACACAATTACTAGTGAGCATAGAATTATATAGGTACCATTGCCACAAGATGCTCAGGTACATAATACTTTATGTTTCTCAAGTGCCAGAAAAATTATCTGAATTTAAAGGAAGAAGGGGTTAAGGCATTCTATTTAATAGAACAGCAGCTCATTGTTTCAGGCATGGATATGGACAGTGCGCTTCTGAAACTGCTGTGCAATCATGTTTATATCAGTAATTATTGTTATGCTACATTTATATAAACCAGCCTCTGAATGATCTACAGTTTAGGAGACATTTTCATATTCCCTGCAGCTCAGCTTTGGCAAAGTAGAGATTGTACTGGATGTGCCCCTGAGGCCGGAAGCTAACTGTAAGAGATAAATAATAAATAAGGGCAGGGAGTTATGGTCTTTTTTCCTCTAGATCCATCCCTGTAACTAGGGGTGTGCATGTGTGTTTTATCGGAAGCATTTTGATATGAAACAGGAACATCAGGTTTCAGTGCTTCCTATGCTCAATTACACACTTGAACTACTCTTTGGAAATTAAATTCTTTAAAAGGGTGTGCATTAAAAAATTATACGCATGGCCCATATTCATATTCCGGTGTGCCTAATCTGATTGGCTGTTCCAGAGACTTGTTGCCATAGCTACTGCCACATCATACTGTGCGGGCTGCGTCTTTAAGTGAAAGGGCACTTGGTAAAGAAACATACGGAGACATACAGTGCAGTCGTGCACCTGTCTATTTTGAAGTAAGCCCCATTGAGGTCAACGGGACTTACTCCCAAGTAACTGTGTCCAGTATTGCAACCTTAGTCCTGTTGACTTTCGTACAATTGTGTGATACGGGTCAGGGCAGGAGATATCATATGCTGCAGCTCTTTGTGGCAGTAGAAATAATCTGACAGAATTTATATGAAATCTCTTTGATAAGAATTGTGGGTGTATGCCACAAAACTTTAGGGAAAATCCTATTTTATGGAGAGCAATGCAGCCACAATTTGTATCCTAAAGGCACCTGTAGTGCTTCTCTCACCTTACGAATCTACAAGTGAATAAGGTCCCCAAGGCTTACCAGGCACTGGGGACAGATGGCCTTTCCCCCCAAGAATCCTGAAGAGGAATTATTGCTCATCACATGAAGACTCAGCCCAGTGTTTACTTCAAGTAAGCAGGTTGTATAAGAGTTTATTATTTTTTTTTGAGAAACCTACCAAAATTCACAGAAATACACTTCTGAAAGCCTATAAATTTCAAAGACACTTTTCATTTGGAAAATTCCAATATGTCTTAAAACTTGAATAAACTAGAATGTGTTTCAGCTGTGGCTAAGAGAAAGAAAGAAAATAAGCTAGATGTTGATGGGTAATAATGTCATCTTTGGAAAGTCAAATGCCATGCAATAGGGATTGGTACCTCCATGATATAACAATAACACAGCATAATAAAACCTCTTTGGTAGTAATATAACTTCCCTCATTTCAATTTATCTGCTCTCAATACTATTCTTATGTATTTCTTTCCTTTTTGAGTGATGTGATATATTCTTTTGCATAGATTTTAATATGAGCAGTGGCAATGTATTACATTTAAATGTGACGCTTCCGCCAAGGTGCTCACGGCAGCATAAATACATCACTCCCATCCTTTTTCACAACACAACTGTGAGATGATAATAATATAATAAGAATACTAATAATAATTTATTATTTATAACCCGCCCATCTGGCTGGGTTTCTCCAAGCAACTCTGGGCGGCTTCCAACAAAATATTAAAATACAATAGTCTGTCAAACATTAAAAAGCTTCCCTAAACAGTGCTGCCTTCAGATGTCTTCTAAAAGTCTGGTAGCTGTTTTTCTCTTTGACATCTGGTGGGAGGGCATTCCACAGGGCCGGCGCCACTACCCAGAAGGCACTGTGCCTGGTTCCCTGTTACTTGACTTCTTACAGCGAGGGAACCGCCAGAAGGCCCTGGGAGCTAGACCTCAAAACGATGGGGTGGAGATGCTCCTTTAGGGCTTTAAAGGTCAGCACCAACACTTTGAATTGTGCCTGGAAACGTACTGGGAGCCAATGTAGGTCTTTTAAGACTGGTGTTATGTGGTCTCGGCGGCCACTCCCAGTCACCAGTCTAGCTGCCGCATTCTGGATTAGTTGTAGTTTCTGGCTCACCTTCAAAGGTAGCCCCACGTAGAGCGCATTGCAGTAGTCCAAGTGGCAGACAACCAGAGTATCCACCACTCTGACAGGACAGTGTTGTTTTTTTAAAAAGAAATGATATTTATTACTTTTCAAACAATTTCAACACAACACTACAAGAAAAAAGAAAAAAAGAACAATACAAATACAATACAAAAACACTACATACAAAACAAAACAAAAACAATTTAAAAACACCTCAAACATTTTCAATATCCTATCTTTCATTCGCTTATTTCCAACGACCTCCTCACACCTCCCTTTTTGTATTCCACTTCTATTTATTGTTTCAGCAATTCCTTTCCATCTTCCTGTTTTCTATCCTATAATTATCTTAACACATTCTTGCCTTATTTTTTCCTTTAATTTTCTATTAATCTATTTATACTTAATTCCTTATAACATTTCTACTGAAGCCATATAACTTCATTCCAACATTCTTCTAACATTCATTAATTTTACAATATTTCTATAAATAGTCTTTAAACTTTTCCCAGTCTTCTTCCACCGACTCTTCTCCCTGGTCTCGGATCTTGCCAGTCATTTCCGCCAATTCCATATAGTCCATCAACTTCATCTGCCATTACCCAACACTTCAGTGCTTTCAAGAAGCAACCATTCTCTCAGCCAGCAAAAAGCAGATGGTTCACAACAAAGTTTAGGGGTCTGGCAGGGCAAGTCCACCTCCTTTGGCATCCATCAATATCTTAAATTTTACTCGTGGCTTCCTGCCCTGTCTGGCAGGACAGTCTGCAGGCAGATAGGGTCTCAGGCTGCCCTGGACACAGAATTGATCTGCGTCTCCATGGAAAGC